TAAATTCATCCCGGCTCCTTTTAACATTTCGATAAGTGATGTTTGGAGTTCTAGGGCCGCATTCAGTGAGTTGTGGCCGCTGATGACGTCGTCGACGTATGCTTCATTAAGTAGTACTTTGGCGGCCGTGGGGTATTTGTAACCGTCGTCAAAGGCAAGTTGTTTGATTGTTCTCATGGCTAACCACGGTGCGGACTTAGTGCCATAAGTAACAGTACACAGTTGATACTCTTGCAATTTATCTGACGAATTAGGTCGCCAGATAATTTTCTGCAAATGTTGTTGTTCCTCAGACAGCCAGATGCATCGGTACATTTTCTCGATATCCGCTGTGAAAGCGTATTGGTAAGTTCTCCATTTTATTATGAGTTCTTGGATATCTTTTTGTAGGTTGGGGCCTTTTTCTTGTAAGCTGTTTAGGCTGTATCCCGTTTTAGTTTTCTGAGATGCATTGAAGACTACTCTGAGTTTTGTGGTAGTAGACTCTTCTCTAAGTACTCCGTGGTGTGGTAAAAAACATTCAATGGTTGAGGTTGAAGTAGGAATGGGTTTCGTTAGCTTCATGTGGCCCAACTCTTGATATTCCTTGAGGAAGTTTTTGTATAATAGTTCAAGTCGACCATTTCTTTGAAACTTTCTTTCAAGCTGCAACAATTGTGATACTGCGATATGTTTTGATTCTCCGATCTTATGTTGAAAATCCGGACATAAGGGCATCTTCACAATGTACCTTCCATCTGAATCACGGCGAGTCGTTTCCTTGTAGTAAGCTTCGCACTGATCCTCTGGTTCTTGATCAGTGTTTTTTATGGTGACTTCTTCACTCTCCCAAAATTTTGCTATTTCAGATAAGTCTAGGAGAGTGACGTTACACTTAAAAGTTTCTAGTTTTCCACACAAAATCCATCCCAGTTGTGTCTGTTGCGCAACGGGTGACCTTGGGGTGCCTTTTAGTACTCCATCCTGGATAATTTCGGCATAAACGTCAGCTCCAAATAAAATATCAACAGATCTTGAAATATTAAATTCGGGGTCGGCTAGTTTTATGTCTTTTAAATACGACCACTCTGGTCGTTCAAATGTGTTGTTTGGGAGTTTGTTGATAAGTTTTTTCATAATCAAAGCTTCAGTGTTAAAAGTATACTCCGAGTGGATTGATTTGCATGTTATGCTTAGTTGTCCCTTACAGTCGCCTGAGACGGATCCAACTCCTGATATCTTTGCAGTTAATTTGTTTCTTGGTAGTCTCAGAAGTTGTGCTGCATTTTCAGTGATTAGGTTGACTTGTGAGCCCTGATCTACAAGCGCACGCAGGTTTATGTAAGTCCCATCTACCGTCATGACCTTAACTTGGACAGTTGTGAGTAAAACTTCCATGTTGTTGGCAGACAAATGATTAGAGCTCGCTGTTCCAGTTTCTTTCGATGGTCGTTGACCTGAACGTTGATTTTCCGTACTCGTTGAGTTTGCTATTTTATTATGAGATTTGTTATAATGCAATAGCGTATGATGATTCATATTGCATTCTTTACAAGTCTTCACAGAATTGCAGGTTTCGTTTTCGTGTCGAAATAGGCAGTTTTTGCATAGACGCAGTTTTGCAACTATGCTGTTTCGTTGCTTTGTATCCGAGTCAATAAACTGCGGGCATCGCATCAAAACATGATTATTTTTGCAAAGAGGGCATTGCCCGTATGAAGTATGGTAAGTTTTGAGTTGCCATTTTTTATGCTCGTAATTTCGAGACGCATGTTTTTCAGTCCCAGCCGCCTTTTCTGCGCTCTGTGACTCTTTCTTGGAACTTTTCATGGTTTCAAATGCTGTGAATTGATTTTCTAAGAACGTCAGAAATTCTTGTAGTGTAGGCACTTCTCTGTTGTCCTGCAAACTCTTTATATACTCATTGAAGGTGCCACAGTCTAGTTTCTGTGCCATCAAGTGCACAATCATGGGATCCCAACTAGTGATGTCAAAGCCGATGTTAGTTAGGCCGTTCAGACATTCTGTTGTAACGTCATGCAGCTTCTTCAAGTTATAAGCGTCGGGCTTGTGTATTACAGGCAACTGCAGCATCGTATTCATAAATGACGAGAATTGTAGTCGACGGTTGTCGTAACGTTGAGTCAGAATCGCCCAACATGACGAGTAGTTGTCAGCGCTAATGCTCAAGTGTTGCACCAGTCTTTCTGCTTCGCCTTTCAGCTTGGTTTTAAGATGCTGCATTTTTTGAGCTTTATTTAATGTTGGGTTTTTGTGGATCGTTTCAAGGAAAAGGTCTTTGAAAGATATCCATTTGTTGTAGTGACCCGAAAACTCTGGGATCTCGATTTTTGGCGCTGATTGTTGATGATGAGCGGTGGACCACATCTTGCTTTTCAATAGTTTTCTCGCTTCGTCATATTTGGCTTCCATGCTGTTGAACATTTCATTGTATGAGTTTTTCGATCCTTTCAGTAAGGCTTCTAGTTCCCAATGAGTGCTGTCAATACGCTCCCACTTCGACTTCAAGATTGCCAAGTAATCGTCAAGTTCCCATTTTTCGCTTACGTTATCAAAATCTATTTTACCCATAGCTCGATCAATGGCCTTAAAGTTACATTCTTGTTGGGTCAGTAGAGTCTTTGTCTTCTCATCAGCTTCTCCCGCCGATAAGTCTGACAGGTCAAATTTCACATTCTCCTCTGCAGCTTGCAATAGCTTTACCATGTCAGCTTTAGTGTTTTCGTACATGATTTTTGTCTTACCGTAGATATCGTCCATAAAATAGTTAATATTTTTATCTTCGATTTCTTGCGACAGTAGTGTATGTCTTGTATTAAAATCCACCCATTGAGCTTCTAACGATGTCAGCCGCTTGTTCAAATATTCTTTTGTTTTTCTTGTTTTGCTATCCTTGTTGTAGTTGTTGCATAATGTTTTGATGTTTTCAAAACATGCTGATTGTAATGCCAGCTTATTCATCTTGAATACAGAAGAGTTCTTCTAGTTGACGAATGCTGTGTTGGTGTAGTTGGATTCAGTGGTTGAAGAGCTTCTAGTTGTTGAAGTTCTTCTGGTAGTTAGTTGAAAGTTTTCTTCCAGTATTCAATGTGCCTGTACTCTAAATAGGTATGTGCGCCTTCTCAATCCAACTGGGGCGACCCGCTTGTGGGAGACCAATTGGACCGATTCGCTACCGTTTCTAGAGACACAAACACACCAAAATACACGAAGGCTCGAAGGACCATAAATGTACGGGTATTGAGTAGTTAACTCCGTACACTGATTTGTCGTGAAGATTTGTAAGTTGAGTTAGTATAGGTAGAGAAACACTTTTCCACTTAAATAGACACGTTAAGTATATTTATGTAAAAGTAAATTACAACAGTGGAAGGCGATTATTTCTCTTAGTTGTTGATAGCTACTAAGTTGTAAGTTTACTATATTATAATATGTCCGTCATCTCATTTTATTATGCGGCAGTGCGGGGCGCCTCGTTGGCCGAAAGTAGGTTGACGAGTAAGCAAGAAAAATGTACGGCGATGAGACCGTACACCTACTTACTACACGACTATCCCTGTATCCAATATGGAAATTCACCCAAGGACAAGACCCAAGTGTTTCGCCATATGTGTGAGGTTACCGGAGGCCCACTTCCTTCCCAATCCTTAAATATCCGAAACCTTTACCCCTAAGAGGAGTAAGAGGCCGGCAACGTACTCGTACAATGCCACCAACGTATCTTGGCGAGTCTGAAGTTAGCTGATTAGCTGCGCAGTACACAATTTTGTTCCTAACTTGCCAAGATACGTCTGCCGCAATGTAACTTCTGTTGGTGTTGCGGCGCGGCATCGACACCCGTAACGGTTGCGGGTGTCCATGGGCGGCGCTGATTGCTTACCATCAGGTTATCGGTTGGCTTGTTTGCCGACCTAGACCGTAAAAAGAGGACAGTCCCCGATTAGTGTGGGACTATAGCGGATAATGGAAACAAGGGATATGGACTGGTATGATGGTAACTATGGAAGGCGAAGGACTAACATGCTGAAAAGTGAAGAAACTGCCACCATCTTTCTACATCTTTCACTCGCCGCCTAAGAACAACTCCACCCTCCAAACAGGATGAAGGCAAGCCAGAGGTGGGAGACCTGTTCCTAGTCATCTATGTATTATCTTTATTGAAATAAACAATTAATTGTAATCCCTAGATAATAGGTACTGAATGTAAGTATGTTCTTCAAGTGAAGAGGCCTTTGCCCAACTGTTGGACATTTACATGCTGATGGTGTAAATACGATGAAGACTGAAAAGTATCATACCAATGCATTTTTATATCCTCCACCTTATCACGAGTTAGGATTTGGATATTGCTCAAAACTTTTCTTAGGAGTCCCAACCTCGACAAAAATTTAAGACATGAAAGGAGTTTGTTTGCGTAGGTATTAATTTTGAAAACTGAAATAATAACAAATGCGAAGGGATCGAATATGATTTATTTTTCTTTAATATTAATGATGACTATGTCATAAATACTAGTGATTTGATTAAATGAATAGCAGAAATCTTGCTTACCTAAATAACTACCTACTGACTACATTGATATAAGCACAAAATTCGAAATGATTTCTATTACATATAGGTATAAATATACTTAATCTAGAATTCCATAATTATGCTAAATAAAAATCAAATTAATCTTACAATCAAAATACACATTTCGGTCTAAATGTCTCGAAATAAAATCTGTGTTCAGTCATTTTATTTAAATATCTAAAGTATCAATAATATATACTGCTGTTACAAGTGACAGTATGTAAATCTAGGTACAATGTTTATACAATTACAACTAGGTGAAGGTACAATAGTTCAACATTAGAAAGCATTTTTTATTCTATGGAATGTCGGCTACATACCATCATACCATGCATGCCATCAACACGATCATATAGGTACATCTATGAAGGTTGGATGTCAGCAACTCTAATCAAGCCGAGATCGAGATGCTCAAGAGCTCAGCTCAAACTTGTGTTACAAAAAATCTAATAATAAACAGACACCAATCTAAGAAGAAGAACACTACACTTAAAATGTCTCTGTCATTACATTACAATCACTGATTGTTGCAAGCCGCGCTGACCCAGGAATCTTACTTGTGTTGGCAACACTGTACACAAGTCCTATTCGAGCGTGTCTCGGCTCGCCAGGAGTGTGACGCCCTGAATCACGGGAGCTAGTACTAGTGAGAACATACGTCTCTCATATGTACTCCAGCAATTGATTTACTCAAACATTTTCTTACTTATTACTTGATGACGCGCCAGCGAATGATTAATAGATTACATAGACATTACTTGTATGACGATTTTCACAATGAATTTTCCATTAGTTCTGAACTTGGTGATGTAGCATGGCAAGTCTGAAGGTCTGCTAGTTCAACGCAATAGCGCGGTCAGGTAATGAGCAAAGCTGATGCGATGAGTAAACAATTAACAGCTGTCGTTGAGCTCCACGTCTTCAGGAAGGTCACCTTCCTGGAAAGGGTAATACTAGTCTCTCCTCCCGGCCACCAAGTGTTCCCGCAGCGTGTTGATCTCACGCTCGATGTTCTCACGAGCGGCAGACTCGAAGCATTCGAATTCCGGAGAGTGGAACAGCTTCGGGATTTGACTAAATTGGTTCAGCACCTGTGAAGATAATGAGAAACAATACAGTCACTACATTGATTTGTTAATTTGAAATGTTTAGGTAAGTGGTCAGGTGGTGACCTTGATCCGCAGCTGGACGTAGTTGTCGTTGGTGAGCTTGGAGTACTCAGCGCGCACGAGCTTGGCGTGTGCGTCGTACTCCTCGCGCGAGGCGGCGAGCACGGCGAGCTCGCAGTCGCCGAAGAGCTGCAGGTCGCGCAGCGGCGCGGGCCCGGCCGGCGACACGACGCGCGCCATGCCCGCGCCCTCCCCGTCGTCCGCGGACTCGGCGTCGTCCCCGTCTCCGTCGCCCTCCCCGTCGTCGTCGGCATCCCCGTCCGCGTCTTCATCTCCCTCTGCCTCCGCCTCGGCGTCGGCATCGTCCTCCCCCTCCCCGGAGTCTGGCTCGTCCACCTCGATGGGGTCGTCGGCCGTGGTCGAGTCTGGCATGTTGGGGTTGTCGGCGGAGTGCGTGGTGGAATCGGGCGGCATAACGTGGGGTTTGGATTTAGCGGCGGAGGCGGAGTCCGCCGGCCCGCTGGCCTCGTTGGTGTCGAGGTCTGTGTCGTGGCCGGGCTCGGGCCCGTCCGTCTCGTGGCCCGCGTCGGCTGCGTCCGAGTCTGCGCCGGAGGAGGAGCTGGAGGAGTGCTCGCCCCCTTCCTCGCTGTGGGGGGAGGACGGGGTGGACGGGGAGCTACAGTTGCCGCCGCCCCACTGCGCCTCGTCATCCGTCAGCAGCGCCAGGATGTATGACGTCAAGTCTTGCTGCAAAATTACAATATTATTCCTTGTGGATTACTTAAGTGATTTTACATCTACATGGTGTACTATACAACTTCCACTTCCATCAATACACGAAATAAAAAAACATAATGCGTGCATGCAATTAAAATGAATGCAAAGAGAAAGATTATAGAATAACATCAGCTTCTTTTATTTTATTTTCAATGTATGTATTGATGAAGTACAATTTTGCAAGTTAATCTTGAAGCAGATATCTTCAACTGATTGAGCTGTTGAATACACATTAAGTAATTTACATAACAATATTCAGTATTATTGACAATGCTTTCAAAACTGCTATTGAAATTCAAAAGTAGACCTCTGACCACAATGTATAACAATTTTCATCTCATTATTACAGAAATTTAAGTGTGGGAGAGCCAAGCTTCGGCACTAATGGGCCGGTTCGACCAGACCAGAGTGATACCACGGCCTCACAGAAAACCGGCGTGAAACAAGCACAGCGTGTGTGTGAGGTTATCAGAGGCCCAATCACTTTCCAATCCCTAAATACCGTTATACCTAAAACGCAGGCAACGTGCTCGTAAATCCTATGATATTACGAGTGTCCATGGGCGGGGCTGATTGCTTACCATCAGGTAATACGTGTGCTCGTTTGCCGACCTACACACTAAAAAAAAGAACTCTTTTGTAAATGATGTGGTAGAGTTGGTAAATAATGTAATGGTTACCCACCGACTGTGGATGTAGTCTCAGCAAGTCGGACAAGAGTTTGACGGTGAGTTCCGATGGAGTATGGCGCAGTACAATAGCAAGCTTGAAGGCCGCGGGTTGGATCACGTCGTCCACTCCTTTGTTGAGCAAGTTCTGCCAGACTCCCGCCTGTAAGCCAGCAATATACATCGCTGTTACAAATAAAAACGAATCAATAAAACCTCTCTGTTATAGGAATAAACTTCGTTATTTATTTTCATGTTGTATTTAACAAGAGTGAGTAGGCATCTCATATACATTCTATTGTTTGTACTTTGTATCATTGCACATAAATAGATGGAGAATGAAACTGCATTTTTGATAGTATACAGAATATAAAAAATATTTTATTTGCAGAACAGGTTCTGCATCTCAAAATTATAAAGAGGAAATATTTGTAAGTTTTTATGTAAGGGGTAATCTTTGGAAACACGAGTCAGATTTCCAAAATAATTTCACTTAAAGATATCTAAAATACACAACATCACACTTTGATGTATAGGAGCCAAAAGCGGAAAACGGCGCGAGAGTCGCTAGTTTAAAATATTTTTAAGAAATATATTTTCACCCAAGTTATACTTAGTTATAAGTCAGATAGCAAGAACTAAAAATAGTACCTGGTAAGCTACACAGTTCCGAAGAGTGTGCCAGAGTGACTCTGGAGGAGAGGCCTCCACCACTTGCTTCCAAGCATCGTCAGCATCAGGCGCTACCAATGTGTTGCAGGCATTCCGCCACATGCGCATGGCGGAGCACCCCTGCGGCTCGCCAGATGTCACTGGTGCACTCAGCACTGATATGAACAGATAACTTAAGAATCAGTGCTTACACTTAACATACCTACATACATTTTTGTGTAGCCACAGGTCAATAAAATTATATGCATGCTCAAAAATCAAAGTCAAAGCAATATAATTAATTTCAATTAATCCTATAAAGAGGCTCTTGTGATACATCAAACTTGGATCGTCAGTCTGTCTGTGAAGTCATCTAATTCCAAAATGTAGATTCAAATGGAAATGAACAAACAAGAAACAACATTTTAACTTTTTTTAAATTCAGTCACAATGTTGGATCTTTGAATTCATAATAGAATTATTTGATGCCATAAAATATCAAATTTGTATAAGAATTAATAATATATTCTTTGCTGCAGGCATTAGTACCATAAAATACCAATTATTATTAGATATACCACCCAACTATTAGGTAGTCCACAATTGTTCCACAAGCAATGTAGTAGGGCTATGGACCTTAAGTTTCTAATTTATTTCCACATATTTATTTAAGCAGCTCTTAAATCTATACTAATATTATAGAGGCAAAATTTTTAAGTTTATAAGTGTGTATCTTTGTTACTTTGTATGTAGGGGGTAATCTTTTGAACCGCTGGTTGGATTTACACTTTCACTGATAGATAGCTACGATGTTCCTGAGAATCCTAAGATCATGCTACAACTAAATGGAGCCGGGCAGCGGGTGAAAACGCTCGAGATTAAGTATCTTTTAATAAAAAGAAATAATTATCTTTAAAAGGCAGCTGGCAGCAGCTACATGGTCCAAGCTACTGATGGTTAGGTTCCAGAGACAAAAACCTCAAAATATGTGCTGTTTCAAGGATGAGAGCCTTCTGTATCTGCCTAGCACCAGCCTCTACAGTTGTCAAAGTTTAATAGGTATATTTTTTTATCAAAAGAAAATATTGTTCTCACCTCCCATGTCTGGTTCTCTCCACCAGTTGTTTGCCATTTTGAAGGGGTTTAGCCCGACGGGCTTTCGCTTCAACTGAAAATGAGATTAGTCAGAGATTAAACAATGTAACTAAGAATTTTACTGTCGCATTACTATACTGTCGATTGGCCACATTTCACAGGGTCACGTCTTCATCCAATAATTTCACAAATTGTTCGTCTGCCACTAGTTAGTACGACTTGCCATACGATGATATGAAGTGAGTTCCAACACTTCATCAAAACATTAAACAACGTGCGATTGACATTTATCTAGTAAACTATGTGTAATAATGTTAGGCATCTACTTAGATAGGCAATTGTTCTTTTTATTAGAATATCGCAGAGTCGCCCGGCCCAGTCGATGCAACATCAAGTCAGACAGATGTTTTATAGTATTACATTAAAATTTCACTATTAACTGAACTAAGAAGTCACAATAAGCGCACAATTATTTCCGTAAATTGAATAACAAAAGAATAAAACTTATATTTTATTTAATAAATTATTTGAATTAAAATTTCTATTATAAGCTTACAACTGAAAAAGGTGACAATTGAATAACGAATAATCAGTGATGTTATGTTAGTGTTTTAAATTAAAACAAAAATAATCTTACTTACGGTTCAGGCTAGTTTTCGGTAAAGTATTTTATTTATTATTTTTACATTCATCTAAAGTAGACCGCACTCGCCGACTGTCATGGCGGCTCAATACTAGGGAAGGGAAGGAACGAGTGCATACGGCTGAGCCATATTTTAGCGATCCACACTCTCAATTCGACTATCGAAATAAAAGCATAAAAGATTGGGTACAGATAAATCTAAATATAAGTAAGTACCTACGCATTTTTGTAGCATGTATAATCACCCAACAAACACCTTGTTGACACTTTTACAAACAAATAAATTTATTTTAACTATCGTAATAATTATATTATTTTAACACAATATGAATGAATGTGTGTTTTTTCTTCACGCCTAACCGCCTAAACTACAGAACAACTGACCACTATAATAAACGCTTGAGAAGCGATTTCTGTGAAAGTACCTACAGACATCGTTTGCAACTCGAAAAAGGACATAGGACAGTTTTTATATCAAAAATCTACAGGAAGTTCAAGAAGTTTCACGAGTAAGTACGGAGTCGCGGGCAAAAGCCTTAGAAAATTATCATGTATATAAAATTATTACTCGTAACAAATAATCAACCACAAATACTTTTAAGTAAAAAAGTATATTTGGTTGTATTGTAGACTCTCTATTCTCGCGCGGTTTCACCCGCTGCTCGGCTTCATTTAATCGTACCGTGATGTTTTATAGCCTATAGCACTCCGGGATATTGTAGCTATCTATCAGTTAAAGAATTTTGGAAATCCGATCAGCGGTTCCAAAGATTACCCCCTACACAGTGGCGGATTAACATATAAGCACTACAAGCACGTGCTTGGGGCCCCTGTTAAGCAGGGGCCTCCATCCTCAGCTGCCGTTTGATTTTATAGCTATATGATATGGTAGCTATATGAGATTGATTGATATTCGAGTGAACCTTCATACCGTAGTGGGCAGCCAGCACGTCGCGTCGTGCAGCGAGACCGAGTAGTCATCTTAGGAGTTTAACCTCCCATGGCGTCCTCACCTTCCGCCTGACGCAGGACCTGACCTTCCAGCGGCCGGCGAGTAAGTGTAGCTCGCCGCCCGACCAGAACCAGACCCGAGCGTACGGCGCGTAGCGTTTCGCGCGCGCCTCCAAGAGCCAATAGCCAGGGTTGCGAAGTAAGCGCAATGAGGCACCGAGGCCTCGGCCTAGAGCATTAGAAGGAACTGGGGGTTTTTAGTCAGTAAGAGTCTGACACTTCCTCTCGCCTCCCCCTGGGCGGGGAAGTCATTTGATGATAACTCACCTCTTGAGGAGTTTCACCTCTGAATGTACAGCTTGGTATCTCAAATTAATTAAATATATGTCGTGGTGACCCGGAGGTTAAGGCGCCTGCTTCTTATACATGAGGTTCCGGGTTCGAAATCTGCCAAGTACCAATGTGAGGTTTTCCGACTTATATGTACCTACTTTCTATGACTATCTCATCTCTAAGTCCTCTAACATACGATGAAGGTAAAATCGTGACTATACCTGGACTTTATAAGTTTGAAATCGCCAATCAGCCCTGACCAATCGTGGTAATGCTCAAACCTTCTCCGTGTGAGAAGAGGCCTATGCTCAACAGTGGGCACTTATAGGCTGATGATGTGATGATGCGATCTTAAATTCCGAGATTTTCACCTTATTTTGGTTGAGATGACTGGACTTGGCTAAGAGTGAGTGAGTGTTTGCATTGCAAATGATAGCGCCTAAGCGCCCATACGCATTACTGCACGTACCTACCTACTTACTTCACGACGATATTATCTCGGATTTTGCTCTGATTAAAGCAAGGAAATGTTTTAAGTTTTAAATTATACCTTCTACATTTTCTATAATGATGAACTTTCATTTTATACTTTCTACCTTCTATTTCTATTTAAGAAATAGAGGGCCTACACGAGCTGTGCTTAAGGCCTCGGATACTCTTAATCCGCCACTGCCCCTACATACAAACATACAAACTTACAAATTTTACCTCTTTATCATATTAGGACAGATAACTCTTTTTGAGAAGAGGCCTTTGCTCAGAAGTGGTCACTTATAAAAGTAGACTAATGAAGGTGTTCTTTTTATTACTTAAGATGTAGTTGTGCAAAAATGATCCAATCCTCAAAGTGACACTTTTGTGATAATGAGGTTTTAAGTTTAAATGTTCTTTGCTCACTGTTATATAGGTATTTTAGTTTGTTGCTTTGTTGATTTGGAATCGGTCTAACTGGATTGGATTAATTTTAAGTTATAAGTTGTTGACCAGTTTCAATTTCATATAATTTACCTATTTATAGTGATCTTATAGTGAAACAGCTTGGATCGTGTTTGCAGAAATTAAATAAAAATCAATCATAGATGTTGGTCAGTATTCCATATAAAAAAGGTCAAATTATCATATCTTTAATATGGTGTATGTAACTAATGGGAAATATCTACTTTTGCCATATTTAGTCATATAGGGAAGTGTATCTATGTATAAATGAAGTACATAAAACTTGAATAAATATAAATATGTAGATAGGTAAGTATATTGTTTAGCTGGAATAAATGTTTATTTACTGCATTTATGCATTTGATGTTTAGTCCAGAGCCCATGGGTCACTTACATCTGGGCAATAAAAAACGCGAAGTTATGTCAAAATTTTTAATTGTTCCTTAATTTTACAGTATTATCAATACTGTATGGGGTACAGTTTATCCCACACGTCGAACCTGTCTTCGTATAGGTTTTGTTCAACAGTGAAGTCGCTGTCGACTCGCAAGTAGGTCCTGTTGTCTGGTGTCATGGCTGGCCAGGACAAAGAGGTCAGCTCCCCGGTGTCGCCGCGAGGGTTCGGATCACTGATAACATCATAGGAATGGGTCAGTCCGACCGGAGTGATACCACAGCCTCACTGAAAACCGGAGTGAAGCAACCAAACGTTGTTTCGCCGTTTGAGTGACGTTACCGGAAGTCAATCCGAGAATTGGGGAGAGATTGGGGGAGGAGGACTCCCCCAATCTCTCCCCAATTCTTAAATATCCAAATTCCTAATCCCAAAAAGGTCGGCAACGGACTTGTAACTCCTCAGTCGTTGGACACCCCCATGGGCGGCGGTGATTGCTTACTATCAGGTAATCTGGAAGCTCGTTTGCCGACCTACAACATTAGAAATGAACTCGGAATATTTTGTTCATCCAGCAGTTACAGTTAGTTTTATTGACACAATCTCTATTTGTATGTAGGTATAAACAGTTTCCTCACGAAACTGTTTGTGTAGGTAAATCGATTAGTTTCAAACCACTCTAAGGGCTCATTATTTTATGTGCAGCATTGCGCGACACACGGCTTACTAAGTAGTCGAGTTACCTTGTTTAAACAGAATGATAATATATCTTATGACTCCGCAATACGCACCCGTATCTAGCGAAATTATACCAGATCGCCGTCATTTTATCCACCATCTTGGAGTCCTGTGTATCAGCGACATCTATCGTCGGGAAGCGGTAGCTCAGCGTGAATAAGTAAATCAGATCGTCGTGATGTGCTGCGCCTAAGTGGAAAGTGATTATGTTGTATGTTTTAAGAGTATTTTAAGATGAAAAGTGTGGGAGAGCCATGCTTCGGCACGAATGGGTCGGCTCGATCGGAGTGATACCACGGCCTCACAGAAAACAGGCGTGAAACCGCCACAGCGTTGTGTTTCGCCGTGTGAGTGAGGTAACCGGAGGCCCAATCCTTCCCCTTCCCGGACCCTTCCCCAATCCCTAAATCTCCAAATGCCTAATCCCTAAAAGGTCGGCAACGCACTCGTAACTCCTCCGTTGCGGGTGTCCATGGGCGGCGCCGATTGCTTACCATCAGGTAATTCGTCTGCTCGTTTGCCGACTTATTTACCTACATAAAAAAAATGAAACTAGATTTTCTTGGTGTTCATGGCTGACGTGAGTCACAGCTTTGTCAAAATCTACTTATTCGTTAATAAAAGTTGGAATTTGACTTACGGACTGGTCTGTGGGTGTCTGGATCCTCATAGTGACTGCGATTGCCAACGTACGCGAACTCGGTGTAGTACACAGGGTGAAACGAGTGACGACACATCAGATTTGCCATCCTGGAGGAAGTAGAATGTAGGTAACATTACTTGAGTATACTATTTATCTGAATCAATACTTAAATTAATAATAACGAAAGTATACCACAGATGGCGCTAAAAGTCTATTGGAGTTATAAAGAGAAGGGTTACGAAAATTACATTCCTGTCTGTATGGAGTTCTATCAAACATAATATTTGCATATTATGGGAGCTCAAGAAGGACGAAACGATTTACGATAGAAGGCGTGACTTAAAAAAATATATTTAAAAGTACCTATGCACAGGGAAAGCGGTAATGGCATCTCCATACAGTTTCCCCAAGGCGTCAGTCGTTGTCGTGTCATTGTTCAATAGCCTGTCTCCAAGGTATGCCTTCCTCAATGTAGCCAGCCTGCTACTGGTCTCGTTACGCGGGAGTATGAACGAGATAGGAGCTATTCGGTCCCATTCATTGTTCATCGTGTCAAACAGCGTTTGATTCTTGAGGACGGCTGAGAAAAGAATTAGGAACTAACAGCTCATTACTTGGATTTTCCACGCTTACCAGGAATGCCGGTTGAGTTTATCAGATAGGGCTGCATCTCAATGTCTGTCAGTAGTATAACCCATTTTTTTGAAGGGGAAATGTTCGGCCCCTTCTGTGGTGGTCTACTGGACCTTGCGCGCCGACCACAGACCCACGCTTACGGTGGCAGGAGATCATCGCTCGATCCCCAACGCCCGGAGTCTCGTCTGCTGCGGCGGCCAGAGTGTGAGGAGGATAGTTCCCACTCTCTATCAATCCCTAAGTCGGCTTTTACGACGCCTGTGTGCCCGGCGGCAAATATGTTCTACTATCCACAAATTAACTAAAAAAAAGGAAATTTCTCACTAAACGCTTTCCAGAAGAATTCTCCGGTAGTCTGACTGACGATAAATGGAACTGAGTGCATCCTGCCCTCTCGTATCGAGAGCATTGGATCTTCTGTGAGGAACCGCTCCTGCCCGAAGTCTGGCTCCACTACCGGGCGCCAGAGACTGAGAGGATCATAGCCAAATTCCTGAAGGCAATCAAAGGAAATTAATTAAAATAACCTACATAAAAGCAGGCAGGGTAATGATGATTATGATGCATCGACTAAAGACCAATAACGCCAAGAGTATGTTGAGAAAATATAAGAAAGTATTTGACGAAAAGTGTAAGCATAAAGTGAATAAATATTAGTAACGCTGATGATGGGCATCCTGAGGGAACATATGCTATCTTAATTTCTTCATCAAGGATATTCGGGAAATAGTCTGGGTGGAGTACGAACTCTGAACTAGCTCGCTTGTATAACTTGATACAGGAATTAGATGAAAGCGGAAGCTGGAAGGACGAGGACACGTTACTTAACAAACGCTCTGGAGTTTGGGCTTCCAGCATTGGACGAGCTCCAAACCAGAGTATGTTTGAGATAAGTTATTTAGCTATAAAAAGTATGAATCTCACAAAGAATCCCAGAAGAGACCCGGCTATTTCCTTCCATGGTTTAGTTTTGAGACATTCGTAGAGCTCTGTGAGGTGGTTTTCAGGACACTTGGACACTTTCGCCTGTTTGATGGCGAGGTCTACGCGGTCTGCTGGACTCGGCACCTTGGCAGTCGGAGACCCACTGAGAGCAATGGCGCGGTGAAATAGACCTGGATAAAGAACGGTTTAAGTTTCTAACTTTTAAAGTTGGTCATGTAATACCCTTCTAACCGCCTCATATTATGGCTACCTTTGGACATGGGTGATATCATATGCACCATGACGCTGACGGCGCCTGCACTGCAACCGGTGATGGTGACCAAGTTGGGGTCTCCTCCAAAGGCGGCGATGTTCCTTTGCACCCAGCGGAGAGCTGCCACCTGATCCTTGAAGCCATTGTTACCGGGAGCCAGCTTGTTGCCCAGGGCAAGGAAACCTAGGAGACGTAAGAAGTTAGAAAGAAAGAAAGAAACTTCTATTCCCATAGAACGCAGGGGTAATGGGGTATGTACTAGATATTATAATGGTGCAGAGTTGTTGCGAAGCGTTTATATTTCCCATGTAGTAACGAAACCTCATTAAATTAATGTTCATTGATGGAGTTACGTGCCTTCAACATGAATAATGGTAATTGACTACTATACGCAAATCGTCTAATACGTAGCGGCAAGCATTTACTGCACGATATATGTGTGTATATATGTATACAAGGCTGATAAAGTTTTCCACACATGGCAGTCATTCAGAAACACAATATGGGCTTATATAGTTCTTTATCACATGCTGTTTTTGTGTAGTCCATAAGATGTTTATTTATTTATTTATTTGAACAATCAGTAGTTGTTACATTAATACTTAACTTAACTTATTATTTTAAAATAGTACATAAATTCACAACATTTTAAGATGTCACAGCATGCATCATAAGGTAACACTGGTTTTATAATACCCATTCAGTAATTAAATAAAAAAAAATATAACAACAATATAATAATAACAAAACAAGAAATAAAATGAGAACAAAGAATAAATTTAATTCAATTTAACGATCTTGTTTTAATCGTAACGACTCTAAAACAACTTTTTTGAATGTGTAGGTATAGCTTATCGCCGAACACATCCACTTCACCACAAATAGAATTATATGCTTTCGACAAGCGATTTATTGGGGAAAACTCTTTTAAATTGGTTCTGGCAAATGGTGGTTGCAATAAACCTGCATTGACTTTTAACTGTCTAGGCACCCGACGTGGAACGCGAAATTTAAATGACTCCAGAAGAGGTGGACAGTCAACTTCACTTCTTAATACCTTATAGAGAAAAGTCATATCATGAAATTATCTACGACATGACAAACTGTCCATCCTAAAATGTCTCAATTTGTCATTAGTGGATGGCAGTTTTTTGTGCAACTTACATGAAAAAGCAAGGTGTCTTAAGAATCGCTTCTGAACTCGCTCTATTCTTAACGTATGGACATTGTACTGAGGCGACCAAACTACCGAGCAGTATTCAAGATGACTTCGTACGTAGGTGTTGTAGATGGCAATTTTTGTGGCGGGATTACGGAAAAATCTACCGTTACGCATGATAAAACCAAGCATTTTTGAGGATTTCCCAATTATGTTGTCAAGATGTGGCATGAAGGTCAATTTGGAGTCAAAGATTACCCCCAAATCTCTTATCTCTTCCTTTTCCTGCAGAATTGTGCCATCAATATGATACAGATTCTTTATTAGTTTATATTTGCGGGTGAATGTGATAGTGAAGCATTTGTTAATGTTTCGTACCGAGAGAGCCGAGCCTGTAGTTGATGGTGACGAGTACAACATCTCTATCGAGCAGGTAGTGGGGGCCGGCCAGGTCACTGCGACCTGACATCGAGTAGAACCCGCCGGGGTGGATGAAAAAGATCACGGGGAGAGGTTTGGTGCTGGGGAAAACAATCACTTTTAAATGTCACGAATAAATTTGGCTGAGTTAAAATTAAGCATCCTTAGCTTTTTAATTTTAATTCATAATTTCATATGATTATTGCGCGCCGTATGCCACGGCAAGACATGCTGTACACATATTTTGCTGAACATCTTGTCACCTACCATGTTTTACGCAAATAAAGGAATTGACTTGAAAAAAAACTTGATTTTAGCGATTTCGGTTACAATAGGACTCAATACCCAAGACTACATCCTGCCAAATGTATCTACCAACAAACACATGCAATTTTCGTCCCGCTTATTACCAGCTGCCCGTACTTTAAGTATCGATATAAATGGAAAAATAAAATTATTGTAATCTTTTTGTTGTCATCAATAAGTCACGTGGTCAACAATGGATTTCGTATGTAGATTGGATTTGTTTCAAAGGTGTTAGCAATTTGGTTTTAATCAATATGACGTTAGCGCGGGTCTAATGACGGCGAGCAAAGGTAGCTCACACATCACAGATGGCCCAACAAGGCTGATGTTTCTGGGGTTGCGGGCTTTTCTTGTCTTCTCTTCTGAGAAGATGCCATTTTTTAGCAGTGGGACAGACATCACCAGTTTCGCTGGCAAAAAATAGTCTATCAAAGTTTACCTGTTACTGCCGCCGCCAGGAGTGTACACGTTAATGGCGAGACAGTCCTCGTCCACGTAGTAGCCGGGGCTGGCTGGCCGCGGACACGACGGGCCTTCTTTACTGGCGTCTACTACTTCTTCGTAGTGCAGGATGGGGTGCGGTGGCTGAAGTAATTATGTTATTTATTAATATTTCAATCGAACGCGAACGCCAGGGCTCGCTTGCGGTTTGATGAATCAAATAAGGTTGAAATGCTTTCACATGAGACCCATACTTTGAAGTACAATCACAGAGAGAACCATTATGAAACAACATTGTTTGAACACAGATTATAAAACCAAAGTTGTTTGAAGGAGCCTTTTTTTATTGATTATAGGTTCGCGCTTGACCGCTATCTCACCTGATGAAAAGCGACGATGCGGTCGACAATGGAGCGCGCTTACCTAGAAGTAACCTGTTCACTCTTGACTTAAAGATACCCGGATTGTAGCTATCAGGAAATACCGAAATAAAAGAAAATGAACCGCCTTTAAGAAAACCACGAATGCTTTTTCAAATGACTAGTAACTGTTCTTCAAATATGCGTGTACGATACTCCCCAGATAATCTGTCTGTTCTGTTGCCCCTATTGTTTATTTTTTTTGTTACCTTTGTTTCTCTGGTTTTTCAGAGACTGTTACTGAGTAAAAACCTCCCCGTTCCTTCTCCTGCTCTAGGTCGAGGCCGCGGAGCCTTACTACGCTTGCCCCGCAAACCTGGCTGTTTTTTCGTTACCTGGAATCGCAATTCTCCAATGGGTGGCTCTGCATACCGTATCCCGCGGTAGGCCTGGAAGCGTCTCCCGCGGCGAGTCTCCATCCAGGAGCCGCGGAAGGTGCCCGACACGCTGTGAGTTACAGGACCGTCTTCATGACTACTGTTAGTATTGGCTGGAGATACGGTAGCGTCTGCAACAATGATGCAGTAACATATTCTAGCCATGAGCCTAGGCTTGTGACAGCACTTATCTTTTCCATCCAACCTAAAGTGGTGGGCCCTTTTTTTTTTAACCGACTTCTTTTAAAACAATACGCCTACTACTCGATGATGATGAACAAAATTTTTGAAGCCTTTATTTTATAACCATTTACAGAACATTTTTTTAAATGTTAAACATATATTTGAATTTTATTGTGATTTATGTGCATTGTAGTTTGCAAATCTAAAAAAGAACCAAAATCAAATAATTGTATGTACTGCATAAAAATAAGGATTTTCTCAAGTGTTTGAATGTGAATTTCACATAAACATCACTCCCAGACCCGGAACAACAATTTGTAGATCTCACAAGGAGTTGTTCCGTGTGGGAATCAAACCCGCGACACATTGCGCACCAACCGTGCATTTAATAACCTACATAGCTACATACCTCATTAAATTTTAGAGGGATAAACCTAATAAGTGTATAACATAGTAGGCAATATACATTTTAGACAAGACAAATTCGTGTGTGAACCAACCTGCTGCGCCTGCGTTGCTTGTGTGTACACGCGAGCCAAACACCACCACAAACAAACACACACACAGCTGTTGTATATTGGTACACATTTTGTTCAGACAGTCAGCGAGCGGTTCGCGGCAGGACTGTCACCACCAACTCTTGACGCCCTACTGACGTACGAGAAGTGTGTTTGACTATAGGTATAATTTATGTTATAGACTTAGCTCGCAGGGCCATTCTACAAATATTTCACGTAAATAATTGTTTTTTTTATGCATATAGCTTCAACTGTCTGCATAATTAATGGCGCGAAGTGCCGCTGTCGTGTCGAGTTCGATTCCCGACCGGAATAAGCGTGATCCAGAAATTATTGTTCCTTGTCTGGGTGTGATGTGTATGTCAACTTGTGTGTTTGTAACAGACACGCAGACAACAGAGACAATACAGGAGAAAATCCTAATGCAAATGAAAATAACGCAATTCCAGTGAATCATTCCGATTTACGTCTCGTTGTTGTTGTCATGTTTTGTAAAAAATGTGCTGATGCCCTAAGGATTGGGAAGGGATAGGGGGAGGGGGAGGGATTGGACCTCCAGTAACCTCACTCACACGGCGAAACACACCGCTGTGGTTTTTACACGCCAGTTTTCTGTGACGCCGTGGTATCACTCCGGTCGAGCTGACCCATTCGTGTCGAAACTTGTCTCTCCCACACTTCATTTTGGTTATTCCAAAATTAAGAAGGAACTTAACTCATTGAGATTCCCGGCACGTCCTTTCATTTATACATATACATACCTACATAACAAAAACATCCGATATCTACCTACATGAAGATGAAGTTAACAAAGGAACCACAACATTACTCATCTAATACCTACAAGGAAAAAAAACAAAAAATAAATTTTGTAGAGGGGAAAATCCAGAACTGGTCGTAATAGACTCTTTATAGGTAACTGGTTTCATTCAGTTCATATACCTAAGCATATGTGTGTGTGACTTTAATATACTCACTCGTACAGATGTTTAACAACTACGTGGGAGAGCCACGGTTTGGCGTGAATAATATACCTACAGAGAACCAGCGTAAGTTTACGGAAAGCTCGCAATTTCTTAAGCCCGAAATCCATAAAAGCAACATATTTTATCTTTAGTCTTATGATGTCGTGTGTGGCTATGGCGGCGCTGATAACTTACCATCATAGATCATAAGATCCCCATTTATCACCAAACTTTCTGCCCCGCACAGGAAAGATTTGGAATGATCTTCCGGCGGCGGTATTCCCGAATCGATACGACCTTCAAACCTTCAAGAAACGAGCGTACTCCTTCTTAAAAGGCCGGCAACGCACCTGTGATCCGTCTGCGCGAATGCCTCATATTCCATAAAAAAATGTGGTTCCAACTAATAAGGCTGAGCATACACAATTGCTGATGGGTTCTGTCAAGAACCAAAGAGAAAGGAGAATATTAATCGACGAATTTAATTTAAATATGTGAGAGGTTGGTCTCACCCACATTATTTTAGCACAACCAAAGTCGACTTGGTAAGGAAGTCTTGTGAGTTGGTGCTTGTGACTTAACATAGCGATTAAGACTCTCAGTGCCGGATTAAGCCAGCGCGGGGCCTGTAGCAAATTCTGTCAAGGGGCCCTTGGTTTGCTAACGGTTCTCAAAAGGGTATTCAATAAAACAAAACTGTTACAAATAAACTTTTCTGGATTTATTATGGGCAAATTTAGCGATTACTTTTTCAATATCGACTTCTTTAAGCAAGTCATGCTCTATATTCAACAACGTGAGATGGTTAAGACGTTCTTGGCCAATTTAATTCGTTTTAACGTTGAAAAAGATCGTTCGCGGAGGAGTGGCGGAGTGCCCTGCGTGGGCTGAGCACCACCGTGTTCTCAGGGAAGTGATCGGCGGCGGCGACCTCTCGCGCCCGGCCTTAATCGAGGCCATGGTGCAGCGTGAGAGGAACTGGGAAGCTATCTCCTCTGGGAAGTTATGCTCGCAAAGGAGGAGGCGGAGCGGGTGAGGGAACTATCCTCCTCGCGCCCCAGCCGCCGCAGAAGGCGACATTCCGGACGTCGGGGATCGAGAGATGATCTCCGGCCACCGTAAGCGCGGGTCTGCGGACGGCGAGTAAGGGTAGCTCGCCGCCCGACCAGAAACGGACCCGAGCGTACGGCGTGTAGCGTTCCGCGCGCGCCTCAAAGAGCCAATAGACCACCACAGTCGGGGCCCTAAAGGGCTGATGTTTAGCCGGGGCTGCGGGGTAAGCGCAATGAGGCACCGCGACCTTGGCCCAGAGCAGGAGAAGGAACGGGGGGGTTTTTAGTCAGTAAGAGTCTGACACTCTCTCTCGCCTTACCCTGGGCGGGAGAAGTCATTGGATGATTTTCCCATGACAAAAAAAAGGCTGTTCTCCAAATCATCTTCGTAAGCACAGAAGAGATTTTATCTGTCGAAATAATTCAAAAACTAGTAATTTTATGATATGCTTTCATACGTTCAGTTATAGCAGACAGTACGTTATCAATTATGACAATAAACACCTCAAATTCGAAACGTTGTCCAGGTGTTTGATTTTCAACAAAGTCGTCGAGTGTATTAGAGCTGCTGAAATGGTCGTACTTTGTATTTCGCTTGATTCGCAGTGATGTCTGTTGCTGGTATTCTTCACAGTTAATCAAATCTTTGGCTCTTGCCTCAATATCTGAAAATGTGGATCGCATTGCTTGGACGTAGCCATATAATGATTCATAAAGCACATGTCGCTTGCAAGCGTTCTAGGATTCCTTTCTAAGTAATTGTCATTGTTCCCGTTTCTAACTTATTCATCGTTGAAACTAGTCCATAAGCTTTGTTACGGCACTCCGCTTTCTGATCCACGTTATTGAAAATGTCTTCCAATACTTGCTTAATAGTAGTAAAACCACATAAAAGTGCCTTCATAGCATCAGCTCGGGCTGACCACGTAATGTCTGATAACCGTTTCAAAATCGGAATTTTTGAAGCGTAATTTTTAAGTGCATTCGTAAGACGACCGCATCGATAGGTAGAAGTGGAAAAAAATGAATAGAGGTTTCAATGAAATCGAAGAAAAGTAATGCTTCTGTACAGCAGTTTGCAGCGCACTTAGCAACCAAATTTAATGAATGTACAAGGCGGGGAATGTATTCTGCGTACTTATTTATTTCCTTAATTCGGGCCTGTAAACCGGTGTATTTCCCACTCATGTTGCTGGCATTATCGTAACTTTGCCCACGACAATCTTTGATATCAATGCCACTCTCACTCAAGAAATCTAGTAAACTTTAAGCGAGTTGTTCAGCAATATTTATTTATTTATTTATTATTTGAAACATGAACTTCCATGTCCAAGAACTTAACAAATCTTTGCACTGGTCCAGACGGCAGAACTGAACAGAAATAACAATACTGTCAGAGTCAGTTGGTCTACATGCTATATATCTGGAGTACAATCCAATGAAACTGAGTAGTATTTGCATCTCTTAATTTCGCAAATAATTTGATCCAGTATACTTGATGCAATTAGATGAATAAATTCCACCAATTTTTTTATTTTTTTTTAAAACATTGCCCCACATTAGGATTTTCTCCTGTGTCGTGGGTGCTGTAACAAACATACCTTTTCACATACACATCACACCCAGACCCGGAACAACAATTTGTGGATCACACAAAGAGTTGTTCTAGTTGCCCAGCCACCGCACCAACTGCAGTTCAAGTTGTTTTAGATAAATATGACGCATGTCTCTTTCCCTTATTAGCATGACTTTGAATATGTTGAGCCACAAAAGCGTCAAATTGGGCTATTAATTCTAACAAGCCTAAATAATTTCCATTGTGAGGTGAACCAATAATTTCGTCACTTCCCCGAAATGCAAGACCTCGTTCTGCTAAAATCTTTATTACTGCAATGATTCGTTTTAAGAGTAGCCTCCAATACTTTTACTCAGTTTCAATTTTGCTCACAAGTTGAGGGTCAACACGCGTATTCTTGTTTTTGAGGTTTAACAGAGAAATTATGGCTTGTCTATGCGGAGTGCTTAAAAAAACACAACAGAAAATTTTCGTTTATATCGTTAAGAAAAAAATCAAATTATTGTAGTTTGGTAGTCGTTTTGTAAACAAAACATTTTCTGCACATGTCTTGCTGTAATGTAGTGGTGTAATTACGAAATACCTATTTGAGCGCGGGGCCCTCCAATCCGCGGGGCCCGTAGCATTTGCTACTCTTGCTACGTGGCTAATCCGGCACTGAAGACTCTCCTTTTAGTTAGGTATAATTTAAGTAGTTTTAACAGAAAGTTGTTTGTAGGTATAAGGCATGATGAAGGTTTTATCGATTGCAATAAAAAAATCCAATTGAAAATTTGGGTAAAAAAAAACTAAACAGGGAGTGAGTCTATCTATTTCAACTTTACAGACGACAGGCTTTTGGCTGCCTGCACTCAGCTAGTGGCTTACTTACGTATTAAATTTTCGGTATCTAATAAAACTCCTGAAAAGTAGCGAGAGTGAATCTTAATTGCACATAAATTAACTTGTGTTAGATTTGTGGCACAGTCTCGAGAATCGTGACAGCCTCGAATTTGCAAGCCCATGAAAATCGATCATTTAACCGAAATCCTATCTAAGAACCTATTAGAAAAAAAGAACACTTAATTCAAAATCAACTTATTTTATTGTGAAAGTACATGATAAACAATAATAAGGTACATAATGCTTTAGTCTTCGAACTAGGTACTGTTGGCATGCTCAGTACTGTATGGGGTACAAGTCGTCCCAGATCTTGAATCGGTCTTCGAACATGTTCTGTCGCACCTCCAGCCGTTGCCCGCGGTGCAGGTACCTCCTGTCCGCCGCTGTCATGGCGGGCCACGACAGCTTGCCCAACTCCGGTGTATCTCCGCGCGGGTTCGGGTCTCTGTGTGAAACAAACAACACAAAACTTATATGCCATCCTATTACACTTTGATCAGGCATTAACACATCACCACCACTACAACTCCCTTAAGTCAAAACAGACGTGAAGCAATCACACTGTTGTGTTTTGCCGTGTGAGTGACGCTAACGGAGGTCGATTCCTTTCTCTTTTCCCGACCCTCCTCAATCCCTAAATCTCCAAAAAGCCAGCAACACACTCGTAACTCCTGTGGTGTTGCCGGTGTCCATGGGCGGTGCTATTTGCTTACCATCAGATAATACGTTTATTCGTTTATCGCCTTAAACATAAAATATATAATACAAAACAGTACCTGAGGAACAACATTGTTAAGCTTGTCACCACATTCCTAATGAAAGGAATAGATACGACCACTCTGCCAAGAGAACAACGGAGAAGAAGGAACAGGGAAGTTTGATGATTGTTTGTAGCCTTACCCGTATCTGGCGAAGTTGTACCAGAGCGCGGTCATCTCGTCGACGACGTGTGAGTGCTTGCTGTCCAGCGAGATCACGGGGAACTGGTAGCTTAGTGTGAACAGGTACAGCAGGTCGTCGTGGTGGGCCGCACCTGGAGACGCGAGGCAGAAGAATCAGTTTCATTATTCTATTTTATATCTGCTAAATATCTATCCTGTCTAAATGTCTAGTGATGATATGAAAGTTTAAGGATGCATGAACATTTATTAAGAAGGTACATTTCTTAAGACGAATTTACCCTCTCCATGTAAACAATCTCATGATTTACGTTAAGAATACCTAGAATAGAATACCTTGTGGTTTTCCGTGTGAGTCCTCATAGTGGGAATTGTTTCCAATGTACGCGAACTCCGAGTACCACACTGGATGCTTCGAGTGACGACACATTAGGTTGGCTAGCCTGGGGATACATATCAAAATTTAATAAAAGTAGTCATAAATTGTATTATGAGCAAATTACTATTCTTGGTCAAATGGAGCCTTTAATAAAAAAATCAATAATCTAACCTGTGCACTCCAAAGCCTATGATGGAGTCTCCATAAAGTTGTCCGAGAGCCTTTTCGCTTTGTTTGTCATTAGCCAACTTCTTCCCTTTAAGGTACACCTCTTTAAGTTTCTGTACAACCAAGGCACGGTTCTCCTGCGGCAGTAAGAACGAGATCGGAGCGATCCTCTCCCACTCTTCATTCATTGTCTTCAAGAGAGTTTCATTTTGTAAGACAGCTAGAAACAGCCAAGGTTTAATTGCATAAATTCTATAAATGTGCCTACATCAGTCAAAACATGATTTCATAAGTAGTTACTTACGGAATGCCTTCCAGAAAAACTCGTCCGTAGTCTGACTCACGATGAGCGGTACTGTGTGCATTTTGCCTTCTTTGATTGCATCCAATGGGTTAATAGTGAGGTACCGCTCCTGCCCAAAATCTGGCTCAACGACTGGACCCCACAGACCGACTGGGTCTCCAGGACCAAACTCCTGCAAGTAAATAATCATTTATTTTGGTCATCTATTACAAGTTTTAGAACTTCTTGAACAAATGTACGGACCCAGAATTTAGGCAACGAATCTCCGAGATCTTTCCAAGGTTTGGTCATGAGACAGTCGACGATTGCGGACGAATTATCAGTCGGGCAGTTGAGGATCTGTGCCTGTCGTACTGCGAGGTGTCGCTGATGAGTTATAGCTTCCAATCCCTTGCCCAATGGAGACGCACTCATTGCTATGCCGCGGTGGAAGAGACCTACAAACATTACATAAAAATATTTAAATTTTGTTTTGTCGTAAGAAGATTTTTTGAGTATTTCTATCGCAGTGATTAACTGATTACCTTTAGCCATGGGTGAGATCATATGCAGGATGACACTGATAGAGCCCGCACTGCAGCCAGTGATGGTGACGAGGTTTGGATCGCCACCAAAAGCTGCGATGTTCCTCTGAACCCACTTGAGGGCGGCCACCTGGTCCTTCATGCCGTTGTTACCTGGAGCGTACGCGTCACCGGTACTCATGAAACCTGGAATAAATATTCTTAAGAATGAAAAATTAAGGAACAAATCAAAGAAAATGAATACAGGAATTTGGTGAACACCTAAGGAGCCAAGCCTGTAGTTGATGGTGACGAGGACGACATCCCTATCTAGCAGGTAGTGGGGGCCGGCCAAGTCGCTGCGGCCGGTCATTGCGTAGAACCCGCCGGGGTGTATGAAAAAGATCACTGGGAGGGGACCAGTGCTGGAATAAAAGAAGGCATAATAATATAGACATAGAAATTTGGCAGTTCTCAACTAGGCAAATTCAATACTTTTGAAATATAAAAAACAACACTTTTCTATGAATGTTGTACCTATAAGATCGCAACATAATGTCGTCATAATGTTTTCATGTCAAACAGGACAAAAATCATATTTATTTTTTAAAAGGTAACTAGAAAATATCTAAAATTATCTGTCAAATCGATGAATGAAAGTATGATTATATAATATTTTAATAATCCATTGAAAGCAAAAGTCAAAATAATTTATTTATGACCCAGAAAAGTACCCAAGAAATAAGTAATATTTGTATAGTTGGTATACCATATTAGCATGTTAGTGCTTGATTAAATACCTGTTGTGTATCGGAGTGTAGACGTTGACAGTCAGGCAGTCCTCGTCGACGTAGTAGGTGGGTGGTGCAGGCAGTGGGCAGGCCGGGCCCTCCTCGCTGGCGTCCACCACACCTTCGTACTGCAGCTTCAACTTCGCTGGCTGGAGACACACGGGAAAAGTAACTTTAACTATATGATTGGACCAGAGTATGATATGGGTGGTTCGCTGCCGCTCAATGTGTTTTAAGTGGCTTGATTGTGACGGGACATAAAGAGATTTTATATCTCCAAGCGTGGAGATTACGGCAAACGTCACTGGAAGGTTGTCACAGTGGCTGGTGCTGGGCAATGGGCTGCCGCGCAACGTCTCGCAGGTTTAATACCCCACGGAACAACTCTTTGTGTGATCCACTATTTGTGAGACATTGTATGTCTGCTAATGCCTCAAAGAGGTCGCGTCACACGAAAAAATCCTAGTGTGGGGCAAAAACCAAAACCCCTCTTTTATATCGGCCTACAGTTTGTATTGTGTAGATGTTAGGTACCTGGAACCTCAATGCTCCGACGGGCGGTTCTGCATACCGTATGCCGCGGTAGGCCTGGAAGCGTCTCCCGCGTCGTGTCTCCATCCAGGAGCCGCGGAAGGTTCCCGACACGCTGTGAGTTAGTGGCCCTGTCGGCTTCATTTCTGCTGACATACAATACGTATAATGCTTTTTGGGAATACTTCAAAATAAGTGATAATAAATGCTGCTCCCATCATCTCACATCCTCAATTCTCCAAAAGGATGGAACAGCCACTATAAACATTGTATTGTTTCGATGTATTTATTGACGTAAACACAGAATCACCTACCAACATAAACTTATGTCTTACTAACCTGTCTCATGTTTGTGTTGGTGTGCGTGCACCGTGTACATGCACACACATAACGCACAAAGGAGTGTGTACAACATTGTAGATCAGCGAAGTCGGACGCAGAGGGCGCGACTGTGCTGCGAACAGGAAAACTTTAGCTTTTATACGAAGTATTTCGCTTCGTTATAGATGGATTATTCTGCAAAGTTTATTTCATACTACACTATAGATTCTACATTCTGCTTCGGTCGTTTTTTTACTTTGTATTATAAAGAGTTCATGTTGACCCATAGCCCTCGGGGAAGGGCGAAGGGTACTGTCAGACTCTAACTGACTAAAAACCGACGCGGTGTTCCTCCACTTACCCATGTGTCGGAGGGGCGGGTATCGCCGAAGCATTCGTTCGCATCCCCCCGACGGGTATTGGCCCGCCAGATGGTTAGGCGGGCCCCGTCACCCACTGCGGCCGTCACCCCGACCGCAGGACTCCACTATGAGGCGCGCGTGGAACACGGCGCCGCCGCCTCGAGGCCTGCTGCTGGTTGGTCGACAAGACGCCCCGAGTCTGTCGTCCACAGGCCGCGCCCTACGGTGGCCAAAGAGGATTTCTGGGGACAGACACCCTGCGACATGTTGTTCAGCCAGCATTAGTTAATCCAGCCACTGCGTTAACTAAGCAGTTAAAAATTACGTTGTTTAGGGCTGATTTTTAATGGTTTATTATGATGCTGTCGCGTCAGAATGTTTGTATAAGACAGTGACAGCAACATTTTATCAGGTAACATTTATATGAGTATTGAAAAATCATATGTAATAAATAAACGTTACCTATAAAGCAGGTTAGAGTCGTGGGTAGCGGGATAGGTTTGTTTTGTGAGGGAAAAAACACACTTCAAATGACTTCGAGAGGAGGAGCGTTAGACACTTAAAACCTTCTTCTGGTCTATGCCTAGGCCGCGGTGCCTTATTGTGCTTGCCCCGCAACTCCGGCTGATCATCGACCTGAACTGGAGGGCTAGGAACGCTCTAGTAACTTTTTTTTTCTAAATACATTGCCCCTCACTAGGATTTTCTCCTGTGTCATGGGTGCGTTTACAAACATACAATTTCACATGTAGGTACATCACACCCAGACCCGGAACAACTATCTATGGATCACACAAAGAGTTGTTCCGTGCGGGAATCGAACCCGCGACACGTTGCGTGCCAGCCAGTTGCCCAGCCACCGCGCCAACCGTGCAGTCAACTACTACTTTAGTGTACGTGGGCGGCGCCGATTGCTTACCATCAGGTAATACGTCATCTCATAAAAAAGAAATAATAAGGATCGTTTTCGTTTCATGATTTCCACTCACAAAAAGGCAAAGTGAGTCTATTGATTCTACGTTAGTTAGATCTGTGAGTTTCAATACTCAGCGATGCGATCTTAGCAATGAGGAAACATTAGGGGAATATAGAAATTAGAACACAATTACAACTACCTATTAGATGTATTATGAAAACCCTAACCGCGGCAGTGCGCGTGCGTGCTTCGGTGACACACTCGACTGGGATGGTGGATGACTCGCGGGGAAACCACTACTTCATACTACTATGCATTATTATCATATCATCTCATACATGTAAGACCCAGTTAATTTTATATTTTTTTGTGGGGGAGCCATACTTCTGCATCCTAATGTCCTCGAAAGGAGTAATACAGCCTCACAGAGTGGAACAACGTTTGTGTTATGTGGCGACGTATGAGTGAGATTATCGGAAGCCCAATCTGTAAATCTTTAACCAGAAAAAGACCTACACACTTTTAAATCTTTTGTGTGTGTGTCCTGTGTCCATGGACAGCGCTGATTGCTTAACATCAGATGATGCGTCTACTCGTCTCGTCGTGTAATCATCAAATGACTTCTTCCACCCTGGATGGAGCGAGAGGGAGTGTCAGAGTCTTACTGACTAAAAACCATCCCGATCCTTCGCCAGCAATGCTATTCTGTAAATGGTAAATCTCATCTCGAAACTCACACACCACTTCGCTTCTCATCTCGCCTGTACACGAACGTCAAAAAGCACACTTGTTTTAGTTCTTTTCACTTCGTTATACACAAGGGGCGCTAAGATGTCACTCCATTTGAGAATATACGAAACTTTAAATAAACATGATTTAGCCGCGGATTCAGACGTGATTTCGTAAATTAACTTTTGGGAATAGCATAGGACCTGCGGTACATTACTACGCTTGCACTATCGGCCTTAGTGAGGTCCATCTGTGTTTGTCTGACGATATACGCTGATGCACCGTACGCTCGGGTCTAGTTCTGGTCCTCTGTGCCTTCTCGCCCTCTGCAGACCCGCAGCAAAGCCTGTCATTTTATTTGACTGACAGTTTGAGTACCTGAGTGAGTCCAAATTTCCGATACGTGGGCCCACGATGATCCTGACCTAAATACTACACCTATGTAGCCGTAATATGCTCATTTAATTAATTTTAGTGTATATTATTATTCGTTTTATTGTGATTGTGATTTAAATGGATAAACTCTGTAGAAAACCTTATAATTAATTTGATATTATACTTTGAAATTCAGGTACCTTTTTTATTCTGTTTTGATATTGAGCTCTGTAATTCTTGTTTGGCTTCCTTTTGGCGAACACTAAAACTACCATTGGTGGTGCGCAAGGAGCCTCAGTTTTTTATTTCCCGGGTCGAAATTTTCTGGAATTTTTCGAAAAGTATATGTATAAGAATTTAGTCAAACCCGATTTGGTCACTGCAAATTGGAAAATACTTTTTTGGGATCAATCTTACATTATCTAAAAAGAATACGTGTTGAATATATTTGTGGTGGCCCGAAGGTTAAGAAGCCCGCTTCTCATGCATTAGGGTGTGGGTTCGAACCTGGCAAGTACCAATAAGACTTTTTCCGAGTTATATGTACTTTCTATGATTATTTAGACACCAATCACATATGGTGAAAGTAAACATCGCGAGGAAACCGCTCCAACAATTTCGATGAAACTCTGATGATGTTTTTTTTAGGTTTGGTAGATTTTATTTTAGGTCTACGTAAAAGTGACTTTGCAGAAAAATGTTTTTCATGGCCTATTTTCAGATATAAATTTGATCACATTTAGGTCACAGATTCATTATAAATAAAAAGCTTTTTTATATTTATTTAAGTTTTTACTTTGTTATCTTATTACATATTTAATTTTGATCATTTTTTTATGTTACACAAAGACTGTAATAATAATTCTGACACCACACGTTGGCCCCAACCTTGGCAGCAATATTCAGACCAAGATATTGGAGTCAACGTTGGAGCCATTGTTGGTAGAGTACAAATCGCTTCATTTACTCTATTTACAAGTCTGGTAATCAAGAGGGAACAGTTCCTCCCAGACTTTGAACCTCTCTTCAAAGAGGTTCTTCTTCACTGAGAATGGAGTGTCGATGCGTAGATACTTCCTCTCGTCTGGCTTGAACTGCGGCCAGGACACGTCCAGCTCGGGAGTGTCGCCTTTGTTGTTTGGATCCCTGGACGTAAACATATTCGTGTTAATAAATATATAAACGTTTCTTACAATTTTATTTGCCTCTTATTTAAACCAATGATATAATTGTAGGCTGTTGTGTTGTCTTACGAATGACTTCAACATTCTGGAAGCCCAATCCTTCCCCAGCCCATTCCAAAATATATAAATCCTTAATCCCCAAAAGGTCGGCGACGCACTCGTAACTCCTCCGTTGTTACGGTAGTCCGTTGGCGGCGGTCACCAATCAGCTTACCATCAGGTGATCCGTAGGATAGTTGGACGTCCTATCTACTAGGGGTCCTATCTACTAGGTAGTTTACATGAACTTTATAATTTACGCGTACTAGCGGAATGACCCACAGGTGAAGTTACCTGCCAGCTCCAAAGCGACGATACCTCTAAGCTTGAAGAACACTCAACCACAGACCACATACAGTATTTAAACCGATGAGTCACTTAATCTTGCCTTGTTCTATGTAAAATAATATTAGTACTGACCCGTATCTAGCGAAGTTGTAGAATATGGCAGTCATCTTGTCCACCATGCTGGAGTCGTTGGTGTCCGACGGCGGGATGGATGGGAAGCTGTAGCTCACGTTAAACAGGTACAGCAGGTCGTCGTGGTGCGCCGCCGCTATTATCACAAATATAAGAACGATTGTATACAAGACATTGAAATGAAAATGCGCCGTAGATGTTACGACCCTTGAAGAGAAAAATATAGGTACCAATAGTTGAAGAAAGGGTATGTAAGTACTAATGCCGATTCTTTATTTGTCATCTTAGAATAAAAAATCAATTTCGTTATTAGTTCTTAGTGTTATAGCTACGCTACGCATAGTCAGCAGCTTTGGGACGATTATGAACCCCAACCCCCGCTTTACTTAACTGAACTAGTGTTTATGTTTAGTTAGGTTTAAATCCCAGTCACAACTTTTCGCCGTCGATCCACGCAATAAATTTTTTATCCTCAACATATACCTAGCACAGCAAAACTGTAGAACGATCTTTCGGTAGCAGTATTCCTGAATCTATGCGAGCTCCAAACCAAGCCTCCAAGCTCCTTCTTATAGGGCCGTAGTGCCATCACCCTACTAGTAACTCCTCTGTAGTTGCGAGGTTCATAAAGAGAGTCTGATGACGCTGATCTGATCTTATCTTTAGGTGATCCATCTGCTCATTTGCCTCATTTTCCATTAAAAGGTTTATCTCGTCATACAATTACGTGTGTTACCCATAAATATGATGAATGTAAGTAATGGGTAGTTACCGATGGGTCGCTTGGTGTCGGGGTCCACGTAGTGGCTGCTGTTCCCGATGTACCCGAACTCGTAATAGTACACCGGCTGCGAGGAGTGCCGCCCCGCCAGGTTCACCAACCTGATGTTAACATTTCGTATAAATATTGAAGACATGTCTTCTACGCTCCCATTGTTTACAAAAATATTAAACTAAGAAAATGATACAAAAGTTAAGAAATTAGAGACTGAGCTCAAATTTTGCTCGGCCGGAGTCGCGGATCAAGCGCAATAAGTTACAGCGACCACGGCCAGGGCTTGAGAAGTGATTTGATGAAATTCTCCTTTCAAAAAAAGTGGGTATTTAAAGATAACTTTGATTTTTAGTAGGACGAAACCCAACATAGTTTTTATTATATCATGTTTAAAACCGTCGTGCTCACCTGTGAGCTCCAAACCCTATGATAGCATCAGAATAAAGTTTCCCGAAGCCATCACCAGTAGCGGTGTCGTTGTTAATGTCCTTCCTCCCGAGGTAGGCCTGCTTCAGCCTGTTGGCGGCGGCCGTGATGCTGGAGTTGTCACCAGCTCCGGTCAGGTACAGCGCTATCTTGGCCAATCCCGGCCAATCCGCGCGCCAGTTGTCGTATGCCGTCGGGTTGCGAAGGACGTCTAGGAATTATGTATTTATTTTAGTGATATTTAGAAGTCATAGTTATTCCACATGAGTGGTAAATTATTGTGTGAAAATTATGTTTGTAAATTATTGAAGAATCTAGATTTGCCTTTTCACATTTTTTTTATAGCCTATCGTGTGTCCCACTGCTGGGCAAAGGCCTCCCCTTTTTCCTTTCAAATTTCTCTGTCTAGTGCGATCTCCGGCCAAGTTTGCCCCGCGTACATGATCAGATCGTCACACCACCTTCGCCGTGGTCGATCTCGACGGCGTCGACCTCCTTCTGGTGTTCATTGAGTGACAACCTTCCTTCTTTTCACATTTACGATATAAAAAAAATGCACTAAAGAATGATCATTTAGATCCAAGCGGACAGAATCCATTACCAATGACAGCAGTTGAAAGGCAGTCATAAGTACGAAATAGCGTTACACAAGAAACTACAGTTGACGAAACGGACGGCCTTTTAAGCCTTTTTTGCGGCTCTTGCATTGGCAAAGCCAAGCCACATGTTGAGTTGCTAAAGTTTTGTGATATTGGTGGTCAGTAGACTATTCTAGGAGCTGACCGAGTGCCTTCCAGAAGAACTCGTCCTGCGTCTGGCTGACGATGTAGGGCACGCGCTGCAGCTGGCCGGCACACAGCGCCTCCAGCGGCTGCTGCGGCAGGAACATCTCCTGCCCGAAGTCCTGCTCCTGGATTGGCGTCCACAGCAACACTGGGTCGTAGCCGAAATCCTGGTCCGACAGATAGGGCAAATTATGAACAAAATTATTTGCTTATATTATGCTATGTTTATTTTTTTTAATAGATTTTGAGGTAAGCTCGTCCCAAAAAGGCCTTTAACTATGGATGTACAAGAGAAAAAAACGACTCTTACTTGTTACTTACCTAATGTCACAGTTTGACACTCCCCCTCGTCTCATCCTGAGCGAGACAATACAAATGATGATAGACCTCTCCGTGGTCCTCCCTCAAAAAAAAAAAAAAAACATCTCCAATCCCTAAATCCCAAAAACCTTAATCACCAAAAAGCCGGCAACGCACTTTTAACTTCCTCTGGTATTACGGGTGTCCATGAGATCATCGATTGCTTACCATCAGGTAATAAATAAGTCTGCTCGTATGCCGCACATAAAAAGTACACTGATACACCACTTACAAACATCTTATCCAAAGAGTCTCCCAGCTGCTTGGAGCTTTTAGTCTTCAAGCAGTCGATGATAGCCTTCGAGGAGTCAGTCGGGCATTGCAGGAGCTTGGCTTGTCTCTCCGCCAGGTAGCGCTGGTGGCGTGGGATCACTATTTGAGAGATCGGGGAGCCACTCATTGAGATAGCGCGGTGGAACAAACCTGTAGGAAGGAACGTCTTAGTAAGACTTACAACTTTTACGCCAGGTGAACTTTTGTAACAGTGTTCGAGACTTTGACCAAAAGTAAGATTAATGTACCTTTGGACATGGGCGAGATCATATGCAGCATCACACTGAAAGAACCAGCGCTGTACCCTGATATGGTGACTAGGTTAGGGTCTCCTCCGAAGGCAGCGATATTCTTCTGCACCCAGCGTAGAGCTGCCACCTGGTCCTTGAAGCCATTATTACCCGGAGCGTACTTATCGCCCGTGCTTAGGAAACCTGTATATGTATGTAACATAACATGAATGTGTTTTATACCAATATCAATAACAACCCTCCTCCTCCCCCCTACCAGTAAGTGGACACCGTATCCATGGCGTAAGTATCCTATCATTGATTGGGGTTCCTAGAACTCCTCCTTACCAAACGTCACTACTTGACGCTAGTGAAAGAGATATGATATTATGGTACTTCTCCAGTTGATGCCCATTCTACATTTTTTTTAATGGAGTATTTCGGCAAACGTGCGGACGGATTACCCGATGGTAAGCAATCAGCGCCGCCCATGGACTCCCGCAACGGAGGAGTTACGAGTGCGTTGCCGACCTTTTAGGGATTAGGGATTTGGAGATTTAGGGATTGGTGGAGGGAAAGGATTGAGCCTCCGGTAATTGTAGATTTGTAGATAGAGATTGTAGAAAGCACCGTTCGTTTAGGGATGTAAGTTTTATGTTCCCTCAGATCCAAAAAGCTGGTGACCGTGGTTTAATATTGTATAATTGTAATCGTAAGTCTCAATTTTCATCAGCTACCTGTCCATGTATTATTCGTCATCAGGTGTTGAAGAGAGTGCGCAATAAATAATTGCCAAACAGGGAGAAAAACATGAGACTATGTTATCATACTATTACGATCAACGAGGAAAACAATGAGGAACAATGTCCACATTGTTTTCTGATAGAGACTAATTATATTGATGTTAGCTTAATTACTCATTAATTGATTGATAGGATAATTATCGACCTGCATTTCTTTTTAGTGGTTGTCACAAGCAATAATAAGGAATCACATTAATAAGCAAATTGAATACAGACTGCACGGTTGGCGCGGTGGCCGGGCAACTGGCTGCCGGGCAACATTCCCGCACAGAACAACTTTTGTGTGACCCACAAATTCTTGTTCCAAGCCTGGGTGTGACGTGTCTCCCTCCTTAGAGCGGGTTTACAAAGATTCTATCTCTTCTTCAATATCTAGTTACTTACCGAGTGAGCCGAGTCTGTAGTTGATGGTGACCAGAACAATGTCCCGGTCCAGCAGATGCTGGGGCCCGGCCACGTCGCTGCGCCCCGACACCGAGTAGAACCCGCCCGCGTGCATGAACACCACTACTGGCAGGGGCTTCTTACTGTAACACGTAGACAAGTTACCATGGTAACTCATCACATCGTAGCCGGGGTTGCGGGGTAAGCGCAATGAGGCACCGCGACCTCGGCCCAGAGCAGGAGAAGGAACAGGGGGGTTTTTAGTCAGCAAGAGTCTGACACTCCCTCCCGCCCGGCCCTGGGCGGGAGAAGTCATTTGATGATTTTCCCCTCACAAAAAAAAACCATCACATCGTATCGCACTTTAGATTCAGATATACAAGACACATTTATATGACACCAAGCCTTTTAATTTGAACCACAGACGGATAGAGGGGGCCCAAAGGGCTTTTGGTTTGATATTAATTTAAGCAAGTGGTGTTCACCTTTAAGGGATTTGTTACACTGTAATATTATTGTTAAGCATGTACTTGATAATTGTGTAAACAATTGTTGGTGAAACTATTATAATAAAAAAAGGGCTGATGTTTAGGGTTCAAGGTTACGAGGCAAGTGCATCAATTTCAGTGAATGTATTGCTATTTATCGCTCCTCGTGATACGGCGTAGTTGCCATACAATGTGACTAATTTCAGACTGCTTGTTATTGCTGACGGAAATCGATTTTGCCATGTTTGTTCTGTCATGTTGAAGGAAATTACTCACGAGTCATGGTCTGGGGTATACACGTTGAGTCGGAGACAGTCCTCGTGCACTGGATAGTTGTTGAAGGTGGGCTGCGGGCAGGCGGGACCGTCCTGCGACGCGTCCACCTCGCTCGTGTAGTTCTCTATCAGCTGCGGAGGCTGGTGGGGGTGAGGTAGAAATAATCAGTAAAATCCTGCAGAGGCCTAATCCTGATCTCATTTCCAAACAACTATCTGATCGGTAACGAATGACTGGACGAAGAAATAGAAAATTTTAATCCAAAATCTTTGAATGAATGTCCGTGAGTAATAGTTCCGTCATGTCTCTGGCGAAAATCAGTCGATTTAAGAGCGGTCAATAATTTTGAGCGTTAGCTGGTTGCTGGTGACAGGTGGTAGTCGCTTCGTGAATAAATATAGGAGGAAATAGGAAACAGGAGAACCCAAACCTATGTAGGGAGAAAGGAAAGAACTTCTACGTAGATTCATTATGTACCTGAAAGCGCAGTTCCCCCACAGGCGGCTGCGCGTATCGAATGCCTCTGTACGCCTCGAATTGTCTCCCACGTCGAGACAACATCCACGAGCCGCGGAACTGACCGGACGTACTGCGAACTACTGGAGCCGCTTGTGTAGACTCTCCTGTTAGACACACAATGTCTTAAATTAGTCCCCAGTCCCTAAAAGCCCGGCAATGCACTTCTAACTAACTCCTCTGGTTTAGCGTATGACCATGAACCTTCTGCTAGTTTGCCGAACCATGAAATAATAAGTCATTCGAGGAAAGCTCTACTAGTTTCGAGTCATACCGGAACACTTAGTCATGGGAAGTACGAAACGCAGGGACGTAGTTCAATCAGGTTTTTTGAACATTTCAATGGAGTAAACCGTATTCTTTAATTATTTTCAGAGTTGAGTTCAGAGAATTCGATCCAAGAGATTATTATTGGAAAGATGATTCGGAATAAGTTTAAGTCAAACCAAAAAGTTCAAAACCGAGACACGAAGTAGGCGTTCCATTGCTTTTGTATGCCTACATCGTTGCATGAACACTTTATGAGTGCTATATTTTACTGAAAAAATACCAAAAGGACCAAAAACCTTGTACTTAAAGAAAACAGTAATATCAGGATCAGTAAGAACAGAATCAGCAAAGAGCTTCTCAGGCCCTATTCACCTGTTGGATGATGATGGTGGTCCGCGGCGGCGGCCAGCACGCCACACGCCAGCACTAGTACACTCAGCATCATCGCGAACACTCCACTGAAGACAGCGACACACGACTCGTCCTATTTATTTACTTCTGGTTGCTCGCCACGCGAGGTATTATTGAGATTATTATTGTCTGTAGTTTTCCTTGTTTCATAGACGAATGTACTTATAATGTGTTGTAGACGTTGCCCGTGTGACACATCTCCTGTTTGGTTTTGTATGTAAATTAATAGACCAGTACCAGTACCTACCTAATATTTTATTTTGAATAATTTTGACTATATTGTTGGCTGTTACTAGTAACTGGTTGCAGCGCAACGTGTTCCACGTTTGTCCCTGCACGGAACAACTCTTTGTGTGTGTAACAATATTTGTTGTAGGTTTGGGTGTGATGAGGCTGAAATGTATAAGCTTTTGAATGCCACACAGGATAAAGTTTTAGAATGAGGCAAAGTCTCGTCAACATAAAATAAACAATAAGAATGTCCAACGTCGTTGGCCTGCGTCATGATGACAGCTAGAAGCAATTATCTAAAAGTCCTAGATGAACGTGTTTTTTCAGTGGGGTCAGCCGGGGTGTCGCACTCCTACTGACTAAAATCACCTCGTTTCATCTCTTGCTCTGAGCCTGAGGAAAAATTGGAGAGCCTCCGGTAACCTCACACAGCAAAACACACTGTAAGTATTGCTTCACGTCAGTGTCCTATGCGGTCGTGGTATCACTCCGGTTGAGTCGGCTCATTCGTGCCGAAGCATGACTCTCAAAACACGTTTTTTTTGTGATTGAAAGAGAGTGCTGGATTAGTTTTAGCGGTTCATGATAATGTACTAGCCATATGCGAAACGGCTTGACTCATCGCTTTTATGCATAGGTCGTTTAATGTAGGTAGTCGGCTAGTCTACATTTAGTAGTGCAGGTCCTGGCGACAGCGTCCCGGAAATATTTTCGCTCGTATACACGAGCGAAAATATTTCCGTCGTAAAATATAATTTACTGCTTGTACAGTTCCCACTCATTGTTTACGTCGCCTCTGTAACGGCACCAACGGTACATTCAATTAGTGAGACATTTTCTGTTGTTGTCTTATTACTTACAAATATTACGATATTATGACTAACCGAACATGTGCAGGCTAAACCACTTAAACCCACGCACGATGATGGCTCCCGATTTCTGGAGCGCAATACAATACCTACTGCCATCTATCGGCAAGTAGCGGAACTTTATTTGTTTTTGCAAGTACATTACTATTATAATGTAATATTATTTGAAATATTTTTTTAAATATACCGAAATAAATAAATGTTTCCTATGATTCCTTAATTTACTTGTGAATAAAAAAAAAACTAAATGTTCATTTCACTTGCATTCAAATTCAAACGGATTAGGTACACAACGCCTTTCTAATTAAGCACATGTTATCATCTAAGAATCTTAGAAAAAATAAGCTAACAATTAACGAATATTGTCATCTAAGGCGACTGACAAGTTTCCCTAGCTCGTGCATAAGCTATGAGTACATTTAAGGAAAATTGTGAGTGGGTATTCCCGAGCCGAGAATATAAAACACTCACAAGTTTACCTACATTGGTACATACATAATATATTTTTTTGCTTGTTTCTTAATATTCCTGCGTAGATTTCTCAATTTTGTCAATCCCTCTGGAAACAAGTGCGTTATAACTAAAAAAACTATTTCTTCTATGATATATGTAGGTCGGCAAATGAGCTGACAGATTACCTGATGGAATGTTATCTGCTCCGCCCACGGATAAAGCAACTCCAAAGGAGTTATAAGTGCGTAGCTGGCCTTTTGGGGATAAGGATTTTGGGATTGGGGAGTAGAAGGATTGTGCCTCCGGTAACCTCTCACACACAGCTAAAAAAATTGTTTCACGCCGGTTTTCTGTGAGGCCGTGGTGTCACTTCATCCGACCCGACATATTCGTGCCGAAGCTTTGCTCTCCTGTTCTTACATTTAAAAACACACGGACATCCAGGAAATGAAATGCGAACCTTGACACCTGCAAGCTTTAGCACCTTGACGCCTGAGTGTACATATAGCAATTATACATGGATATTCTCTTTGCTATTGTAAAAGCGTTAGGTGCTGTAACATTATCGTAAAACATCCTTCCTAAAACATCCTTTTTCATCCGTCTTAAAACATCCTTTTCGCAATCATAAAGTTCCTCACCGTTGGGTAAGGGCTAAAACGAGTTAGTGACCCCCGAACACAGCCATTCACGGTGTAAATGCAATTGATATTCTTGATATTCCGTCTGGTCGCATCAGCGTCGCATTCAGATAAGGGACCGTGTTGCCAATATTTAGCTGGGCTTGGGCTTTGCTCCCACATGTAGTTCTGACATGTACTCCTTTTGATGATACTTTGAATTGTCATTGCAATTTGCCAGATATGGTGATGGCAGTGCTGCAAGTAGCCTTCCGACGATAAAAAAAATCCTGGAGCTAGGGAGAGGAGTTCGTTGGAAGTGGATGATGAGAGACACAATATATTCTATACAGTCATCTGTTTAGAATAGCCTCAACTTGTGCAAACAACTTCGAAATCTCTTCAAACGTTTAATGACAATCATCCATAACTCGTCGTTAGTGATGTTTACATGTAATATAAACTTCCTACTCATCTTACTCAATGACACACACGTGATAGATAGGATGCAGTCGCGTGTACTCGACAATCTCTCGTATACTCAGTACTCGAGTAGCCACACATACCGTGTACATCGAGGGATTGGAACAGTTTGCCGGCTGCAGTCTTTCCGTCCGAATACAATTTAGGTGTCTTCAAGGCTAGACTGAATAGGCTCTTAATAAACTAGTGCGCCTTACCATCAACGATTACATCACTGCTTACCATCAGGTGGGATCACAGTCAAGCACTAGTTTATTGCAAGTAAAAGAAAAGAGTAACGATGTAGGTTCGAGCAAGAAACTTTTCTATTCGAATCTATACATCGCAACAAGAACTTTGACCTTTCAAAATTATGTGCTTATGGATATTAACTTGAAATAAATATTTTTTGGACTTCGAAAAAAACAAACAATTAAAAATCGAACTCCAAACTAAAAATCGAAAATAGAAAGCAGAAAAACGAAATTTTTAAGTCAAAATATCGAAAATTGAAAACAAAAATAAAAAGTAGAATACCAAATACATACCGAAAATAGAATGTCAAATGGGAACGGGAACTAAAACGAGACTGGGAGTAGTAGTAGAAAACAGTTTCTTGTACCTAAATCTTAATACAGTTCCCAGATTAGCATAGTTCATATTGTTTCGTAGCATAGAAGATGTGATAATATCGTTATTGGTTCGTAGCTGTAACCCACGGACGGACAGACAGACATAACGAACTTGTATTTTCTTACCTTGACTAGAGAATTATTTACATTTACATTTAAAATTTATAATACTCCCAGATTTCAACAAAAAAAGAAAGATATATTCTAACCATAACCAGTGTCATTGACAAGTGGTGTCTGTTTAAAATAGATTGTATTAATTAATAATTTCCTATCGACCATTAAAAGCACCGTCGGAAAAGCTTGTTTTTCTTAGCTTTATACTAGTTGTAGACCGGCGAAGACTATTTGGCCCACAAGAACCTTTCATTGAGTGATCGACTTCATTATAGCCGCGACGGCAAACGTTTACTTAAACTTCACAGAGCTGTTACTTATCAGCTCGGATGTACATAATTATAAGCTATGACTTATTCAGATACATTATTTCAGATATTTTAATAGTGCTTATTTGGAAGTTATTTATGCGGTCAAACGTATAAGTCCAAATACAGCTCCCTGAGGTATTCCTGTTTTTAGCAATCACCCGACACTCGAGCCTATGTTCGCTTTTAATTAGATTTATCCTAAATCCGTGATATTAGCTTTCAATATTTCTTTCTTCTTTTTTAAATCTATTTTAACACATTTTAGCAGTTATAAATATGCGTAATGGCTCTGCATTTCCTCTGTCAAACGCATCATAGAGTTCAACGAACAACTTTAGTTTCCTTTATAAATATACGTATGATCTAAATCGCTTACTTATAATTTCAATTGCTATTGATATGAAACGTCAAAATAGAATAGTAGTCTGTCAGTCTGTTCGTCAGTGAAACTAGGTGCTCGTTCCAAATTGTAGTTTCGAATGGATAGGCTGATATTTCTAAGGAAACTCGGGGAAGTTTAGTATGGGTATACTGACAACGAACCATCGATGCGTAGTGTCAGCTCTGTATGGTGTCCACTCACGCAGCAGTTTCAATTTCCCGTTCTCTCGCATGTCCCGCTAGAAGCACCGCGCCAGTGTACCGAGCACCACACCACGGCTCACCACCGACAAACTATCACTAAAGTTGCCCGCGACCGCACGCATGCGCGCCGCTTGAAAGCTCTCGCCTAATATTTTTATTTCACTCAAAACTTTTTTTCATAATTTCGTTTTTCGATTTTACGATACTAAATGTTCAGGTGAACTGTGCTCGTCTTGTGTTGTGATACCGTTGCTTCAATTTCTGCGTGCACTATGGCGCGACAAATTCTCATACTTTTGGTAAGTAATATATTTATGTACATTTTTATTTAAATTATTTTATATATGAAAGCTACACTTATATTTATACCTTATTTCATAAATATTATTGCAACATGAAGCATTCGCGATGAATATGCATTTTTTTACTTATTATAAAAAATACCTATATAATTTATATTTGAAAGTGGTTCTATGTAATGTATGAGACATTACAATAACAAATTATTTCTTCGGAAGAAATTGCCCGGCACTGAATGCAGACACGGCAATGTGTGCCGGTGCCGTGGCCTGTAGAAAGCGTCCGAGGCGTCCGTCGAATAGTATTCGAGAGAAATTGTGCGATTACAAAAGGAACAGCGCGAATAATACCGCCGTAAACTCATCGCGGATGATACACGCAGATAGTTGTGCCATTATTGTTTGTGCGGTCTATGGGTCTTCTGCGCATTATCGGATAGCATTCAAACATTGATAAGTATATTACTTGACTTACATTAATCCTCTTTTGCCTGG